CACCAAGGTGCCAAGCGGGTCTCAGGGCTGGATAAGCGCAGGTGTGGGGAGGCCAGTGTGTGGCACCCAGAGCCGTGTCCCCACCCACCAGCCAGTCCCCCTGGGTGAGCAGCAGGGTTGGGCACCCCATGTCCACCCGCGAAGCATCCTGCGTCTGGCTGCCCTTGCACCCCACTGGGGCTGCAGGTGCCTGGCTGGTTGGGATGCCCAAGCCGGGGGTGTCTCTCTGGTGGGATTCACAGACCCCCTCTGCCCTGGAGTGTGCCCCAGGGAAGCATTGTCACAACACCTGAGTGCATGTGTGTGTGTGAGTGTGCCAGGGTATGTGGAGTGTGCCAGGGTATGTGGAATGTGCCAGGGTATGTGTGCCCATAACAGGAGCTGGATGGCAGTGCCTGTCTGAGTGTGTGTGTGGGGGCACAGCATGCGTGTCCATAGTGACACGGGTATACACGCGATGTGCAGGTGTGCCAGTACCTGTGCGTGTGCCGTTGGGCGTCTTGGTGCTGCAGCAGGCACCTTGCTGGGCCGGGCCCAGCACCCTGGCACCCCAGCATAGGAGAGCGCAGCCTCAGCTGCCCCAGGCACTGTTCCTGTGCCTGGGGACAAAAGCCATTATAGGCTTTAGAAATTATCAGTTTGGTCTTGTCCTTTAATACCAGGAGCCCTGCCAAGATATGCAGTATAGTAGTCAAAAAGCCAGAGTAGAGCCTTAGTTTTCCTCCTGTACTATTAACTATGGACGTCATAAGTTTGCTTTACTATTATTTCACAGCATGTACTGTAGTCTGTCCAATTTAGTGTCAGAGAAATGTTATTTGAGAGAGCTTTCTGAAAGCAGCCAGCAATTTGAGGACCAAACCTGAGAGAGATGACCACTCATGAATTGGTGTCTGATTTGGACCAGGAGTTCTGAAGCTGGATCTCCCCAGAGGGATCACAGCTTGGGTTTTTGGGCCTCAGCTTTTTAGGAGATGGTCTATGGTAGTACTTGTTGGGGGGGCGGAGGGGACTACTTCTGAGGTTAAGATGTCTTTTTGTAGTTTCAGACTCAAGTGAAGGAGGAAACAGTTTTAAATCACAAGAGATTTGTTTCCCATCCAGTGTTGTAAAGAAGATACCAATGCATGCATGCCCATGCAAATCAAAGTTTTAAGTATTTTTGCTGTGGTTGGAACGGATGGTGTTGAAGATGTGACAAACGAATCATTCTTTCCCTTCCGCATCCTGAAAAAAACAATGCCAAAACTTTGCATATGCAAAAAGCGAGACTTACAGGTTTTGTTCTGTAAGGTTTAAGTGTTCGCCAAGTTCTATCAGGTAATATAAGTCAGAATTTATCTCTTAACTTCATTTGTACAAGCATTATTCTCATTTAATTTTGCATTCCGAGAACTTTCGTAACTTAACACATAGCAAACTTCATCTTCACACGATCACATGTGCTTGTACTTAACCAGTGTCCATAAGTATTCGTCACCAACAGGGCTCTTCTCTAGCTTTTTTCTTAGGATAGGTAATGGTGCTGCCTGAAACATTGCTCTTCCCAGTCAGATCGGTATGCTGTCTCTGAAATAGGGGGCTAAATTTTCACACTGCTTACATAAATGCAGATTGTGCTACCTGTATTGACTTGTGGTTTGTAGATTTATGTAGCTCTCGAGTGTCAGAATTTTATTTCAACCATGCCACTTTTGATATGAAAGATGGTACAGAATGCTGAGCTCTGAGCTAGCAAGACAGCAAAGCTTTCAATAAGCTATTAGCATGGGTCTTCAGCGTTTTTGTAGTACTTCCTTCTCTCCCAGCAGCAGGAGATTGATCTCTCAGATTTAATAGTGAAATGTATGTTACATGTGGAATATTTTACTCAGAAATATTGCTTTTGAACATTGGGTCCTTCTGTCTAGGTTCTTTCTAGGCTGTGTTTGGACCTACTGAACTTGGAAGGATGACATGATTATCATATTACTGCTACTGTTACAGTGGAGATGTCACATAGGTCTGTTCTCAAAAGCCAAATCTTTGCTACTGGTTAAATATTCGAAGGTGTTGCAACAGTTCATAAATCCATTAAAAAAAATATGTTGAAGAGTGTTTAATATGCAGAAAAAGACCCAGTAACTGGGGCTGTTTAAAAAAAGTCGTCAGAGGAAGGAAAATGCAATACTGGAAACTTCTTTAACCTTCTCTTGTTTTAAGTGGAAGCATGGTCCTACAAAGCTTCTTGATTTGGAAGCAAATTTGCAGAAGTAATTGGCATATATGTGCCTATAAATAGCAATAAATAAATTTAAATGGCTATCTTCCAGCCTATATTTAGCAGTGGAGCAAGCGCAGAATACTCTTCCTCTGCCCTTTATTTCCTTTGAAATAGTGCTTTGCATGATAAGTTCCTCTCCGTAGATTGTTCTGTTAGCTTCCTCCCATCTGTATCTCCCTTTAGCCCTAGGCTGTTGAAAATGAGACAGTTTTTGAATGAATAATGTGTATGTGATGACTTTTTCATATGATTAAAGAAAGTGTGGGATGATATTTTGGTACTCTTCTATTTTTTTCCCTGCTCCACTAATGATGATATATAGACTGTAAGAGTTTCTAGGGAAGAAAGAAGAAATAACAGCAGAGAGGGGCTGGGTGGATGGAGGGGGGCAGGAAAGCTGTGAGATATCCACAGGGTCCAGGATGTGTGTCCCCCCCCCCAGACTGGAATGAACTTTGTGCACACGTCACGCGCCGCACCACAATTTGACACAAAGCAATGCAACACGGCGCGTCGCGGCCCAACCCAACCCAACGCCACACGCCACGGCGCAGCGCGATGCAGCCCGACGCAGGGCCACGCAACCCGACCCAACTCGCACCACCCCAACCCAACGCCTTCCCCCACAAATCGGCCCAAAGCCCCCACGCTGCTCTCCCCCCTCCGTACCCCTGCCCAGATGGACCGGCAAGCCCTGTGCCCCCCCACCCCACCCCAAGCTGGGAAGGGCTCCCACAGTGCAGTGTGAGGAGGAGCTCGCTGGACCACCCTGGACATCCACCCGCCATGGGTGCTGTCGCTGGGTGGGAGTGTAGGGGTGTGTGGAGCTGTGCCAGGGGCTGAAACGCGCCTGGGACGGTGCAGGAAGAGCCCTCTCCTGTCACCAGAGGGGCTGGTAGAGGGGACAGCCAAGGGGTAGAGCTGCCATTAAGCTCCTGGCACTGGGACCAGTCCCAGTGTCACCAGTGGGGCACACAGGCAGGGATGGTGACGCAGGCGGCGATGAAAGCAAGAAGCAACTCCTCCCCTCCTTGCTCCTCCCCAAACCCCCTTCAACCACCTCCTCTGCCTTTTCCAGGAGCTTCCTGACTCACCTGGGCACCCTCCACCACCTCCTCGTGACGGGCACAGCTCCAGCACCCCGGGGTGCCCCAGCCTGCCCCCCATCTGCCCTGAGCCCCCCAGACCTGCACTGCCTGCGGGGAGTCCCGTCCCCAGCCATGGAGAAGACCTACTCGTTGACGGCCCACTATGACGAGTTTCAGGAGGTGAAATACGTGAGTGGCTCTGCGTCATCTTGACGTGTATGTTGGTCCTCAAGTACCTGGCGGCTGAAGGGGACAGCTACTGCCTGGAGGGGTGCCAGGAGAAGAAGGCCTTCCTACGGGCATCTCGCTTCCTCAGCGCCAACATGGATGCCACCATCGACCCCTGCCAGGACTTCTACTCCTTCGCCTGCGGCGGGTGGCTCCGGCGGCACGGCATTCCCGAGGACAAGCTGGTCTACGGCACCATCGGGGCCATCGCCGAACAGAACGAGGCCAAGCTGCGGGCGCTGCTGAGCAGCCCCGTGCGGCGCCGAGCCCCCGCCTCGGCCGAGC